AGAAATTAAATTTTGATAAAGCAATGAATTACTTAATTATAATATATTTAGGCAATTAGAGGGTTATTTAGAATCAGTGAAGAGGTTGTCAAATGCGAGTGAGGCGTAAATCAATAACCAAGGACATTTCCGTACAATCCGGCCCCAGCTCATGCGACTTGTAGCGGTGGGTGCTGCCGCGAACGCACGCGTGCGGGGGCGGGGCGGGGGAGGAGGAGGAGGGAGGAGGGACGCGGGAAGGGCGTGGCGCTGACGCGGGGTTGCGTGCGGGGCCCGCGGGCGGCGGGCGCGAGGGCCCGGCTGCGCCCCGCGCAACCCTGCGGCGGCGCGTGATCGCAGGCGCTGCCGGCACCACGGGCGGCATCGCGGCGGCCGTCGTCACCGTCATCGGCCGCGCCGCTGCCCACCATCTCCGAGACCACCACCGCCTTCACCACCGTGTCCTCCACCAACACCAGCCCGAGAAGGGCTCCTTCGCCAACGGACTTCGAGCCCGACGCGCCCACGGTACGTCGACATTGATTCCGCGTGCGTCAACTCTGTTGGTCCGTAAGTGTAGTGCATGATTTATACCACAAGGTGGTGGGGCTCCTTAGCCAACGGACTGGAGCCCGACGCGCCCACGCTACTGTGCACTCACACGACATTGATTCCACGCCCGTGAGTACTTTGGTTGTTAATCCCGTAAATGTAGTGCATGGTGTATACCAAAAGGGTGGGCACCTTCGCCAACGGACTGGAGCCCGGACGTACTCAGGGTACGTACCACTCACATGATATGGTTTCAACTAGGCTGGTCACACGATATGGATTCCACGCGTGTGAGCTACTTTGGTCATTAGTCCCGTAAGTGTAGTGCATGATTTATCCCAGAAGGGGTGGGGCTCTTTCGCCAATGGACTGGAGCCCGACGCGCTCCTGGTACGTAGCACTCACACAATATCGAATCCACGCGCGTCAACACGGTTGGTCCGTAAGTGTAGTGCATGATGCATACCAGAAGGTGGGGGAGCTTCTTCGCCAAGGGACATGAGCGCGACGCACCGACGGTACGTAGCAATCAGACGATATCGATTCCACGCGCGACAACTAGTTTAGTCCCGTAAGTGTAGTGCATGATGTATACCAGATGTGGCAAGGCTCGTTCGCCAATGGACTGGAACCCGACGCGTCCACGATACGTAGCCGTGTGACGATATCCCAGAAGGTGGCCGGGACTCCTTCGCCAAAGGACTAGTGCCTGACACGCCCACGGTACGCTGTAACGAGCGTGAGCCAGTGAGTCAATATCAATTCCAAGCATGAGAACCACTTTGCCTCTTATTCCCGTAAGTGTAGTACATGATATATCTCAAACTGTGGCGATATCCCCCTCGCGCTGCAACGCCCGGTGCGGCGTCAATCTTCACACCGGTGCGCCTTACATTCACTGACACAAACACACGCACTACACTACCATATATTTCGAGGATCTAGAGCTTGGCTGGCTAGGGCGGTACCACGCTGGGGGAGCAACACTACACGTTATCTATGTGTTGAAATTCTTCAGGTGTGACAATATTATATTATAAGTGAAGGAACTCATCAAACTATTATAAAATTATTATAGAACCATAGATATAAAAATGTTTGTGGTGATTAGTACCCTAAACTTTCTAATGTAGAAAATATAGATTAGAATTATATTCATGGCAGATCAATTTATGAAAAAATAATATCTAATAAATTTCATAAGATATTTCGCGTACTCATTCTAGAATATAGATTATTCTACAACTCTCATTGTTGCATTCCCTTGCACATACTTACACAGCACTATCTGCTATGAAGTTATATACTGACATTGAACCCGGTTCTGGAATTCTTGTACTGCTATACATTCATTGTAAATGCTATTTTAGTTATCAACACGCTTATCCACTTTTTTAATAATATTATTGAATTAAGTATTTGATCATCAGTTGCAAAAACTGATTTCATTAAATGAAAAACACGTAGCTTCCGTTGGGGATTTGGTCACTTCATCACATTCGCCCTCTATACCAGACCTCAAATTTAACTCCAAATCAATTTTACTTGATTTTTAAGGTTTCTTTGTTTCGTAAGACAGGATTAGACATTTTTACTTCACAGAGGCTTCACAGCCACAAAGAAAGGATGGTCGCTACCCATTATGACACCTACTATCATCAATAACACTACAGGAACGTAAGAATGAAATACCAAAATTTAAAATCTAGTATCTTGCTGTCCTAAGCGTGACAAACCTTCTAGTTAGGAAGTAGAACTGCCTTTAGAACAGAAGTTATTTTTTGGGCGTGCTCCTACAACAACAATATTGATATAAGAAAGTTTTCTTAATAAAACCTATTTTTTAAAGATAGAACTTGAAATAAGATCATGAACAATGTTTTGAACGTACGAGTAGTTTTCACTCAATTTAGTGAGTAATTCAGTTAATTTTAAACTCCTTTCAATTTTTTTTCCACAAATAGAACAAGGGACGCTTAGAAAATGTTGCAGGCCTCATTTTCGTTTAATGCTCGAATTTTTGAAAATTGGAAAAGTTAGAAATAATGCTAGAAATAATGTGCTGTTGTAGCATCACTGGTTTTAACAAGAAAAAGGGGAAAACAAAAATAATGATGACCTGAATTTACTTGAACGAACCAGAGATGAATAGGACGTGCAGTTAATAACTGCATAGTGCATACTTGCGAAAAAAAGGTTTTATCCTTGTAGTACGCAATGTACCAGTACCATTCAACCAGTTAACACACATTTTAGAAATAATCTTATTATAGAGAGAATCTATTTTAAGATAAAGATATCCTACCACAACACCTATACCACAACACCTATATATCTATTTTAAGAGTCTCTCGTGTATTATTAACAGTCCTACCGTCATTTACATATCAATACATAGTTTACTGACGAACTATTGTTGCGATAATTAGCAACAGTTTTAACTCTCTTGATGAAAACAATGCAAAATTATTTCCTCGTTGCATATTCACAAACTCTGCATTTGAATCAGACATCTATTAGTATTCTCTTAGGGAGAATAATGTCGGATTGAGCAGAAAATGATCATGTAATATCCATCAAACGAAATAATTATAATCCTTGAATAAAACCAGAAACTAATTTCACAAAGACAAAAGGAAAATTCTATTGCAGTATATACACACATATTCTGAGACATTCATTGTCCCTCCATTCTATTCATTCTTAAAAATAGGCGCTTAGTGACACAAGATACATTTCGCTTTTTGCGGCTCATACGAGTCGCAATGCAATGAATCCCTTTGTTACCTCTTCGTCATTGTCAGCGCGCGTCCATTTAAATGGCAGTAAATACCTAGGCTCGCCTGCGTTACAGGATATTTTAGAAATCCTGCAATTCCGAGAGTTAATGTGCACCGCCCACGTGAGAAAATGCGCTATGCTCGCCTATCAACATCGAGGCACGGTTCACAATGGACGCCATTTCTCCTCCAGAATGGGGATCATGTCATGAACATTCCAGCTCGGCGGTTTGTCAACATTGTCGTGAACATTCGTCACTGTTGTGTGCTGTCACAAAATTTGATTAAATGAGATGAGTCGTTGAAAATAGTTTGAAAGGGTACGATATACCTGGTATCGAGTGATACTGTAATAAGAAAACATTTCACTTAAATCATTTTTTCCGTATTTTAGTATTTTGCATATTTAATATGATCGCGTCTGTCATGGAATTTTAAAAATTTAAGACTGACGTAAAAGCAAATCAGGCAACAATGTGCCTTAATAAATAATCAATGAATTTTTTCTTTTATATTGATATTGCACTATCATAAAATGTTTTAAATCGTCACAAATCTGTAAACATAATTTTTTGTTGATTTATATTTCAACAATATTCTTGTTCGAATGTAATTATGTATGAAGATTATTGATTTAATTCTTTTGTATTTAGTTATTTATGGTGCAACTCCTAGTAATTAGTGCCTATAAAATGGGTGCAAAGAATTACAGTTTTAGAGAACCATTCAAAATATTATAAGATATTCAATTTCTTCAAGAATATTTTTCAAAATGTGGGTAACATAGAGGGAAAAAAGGTTTTTAACTGCAAAAACAAAGCATTATTGACTAACGTTATGTTATTTTTTGTAATTGTGGTATTAGCTGTAAAATGCCGATTCGATAACATACAAATATAACTAATCATTTTAAACATTACATTTACATAAAACACAACGCAATTATTATTTATACAACAGTATTAGAAATCTTCTGAATGATTAATTATTTTTATTACTAAAATTAAAAATATTTTATTTTTAAATTTACGATCATTTACTTAAGTATTTTCACAAATTTATGTTGGAAACCTATGATAAAATCTTACTAAACTAGATCCCTTGCCAATACGAAAATCAAGTTTGATCTTCAGCAATTTTATTCTATTGATTGATTTCTTCATACTTTTGGAACTATGACGGAACATTTATAAATTATCGGACAGGTTCTGCGACAAACACTTCGGCACTTCGTCGATGCCCCATTTATGTGATAATGGAAAGCTATTACCAATGCACATTGTTGCGTTTTCGAATTTATTATATTACCAATGCAGAAATTCGTCAAATGTATCTGTTTATAATTCATCAAATTTACATTTTATGACGCACAAACTTTAATACTTATCATAATTCCATTTGAAATACAGTTTTGCCCCAGTGATATTAAGAGATTAAACAAAAAGTTAGTGCACCGTGTACAATTGCTGACCATTGCGTTTCAAAGCGTAAAAGGGTAATATGTAAAGTTCTGATTTCGTTTTAAAATACTACCAGAATAGTAACATGAATTAAATTTTTTAGTAGATATATTTAAATGATTTGTATTTTATTGTCATTATCTCGATAATTTGAATTTTTTATTCGATTTCAATTATTTGTTTCAAAATGATTTCTCAATGATTTTTTTTTCAAATTGAAAACACAAACATGGTAAGACAAGCAGCAAAAAATAACATTAATTAAAATTGGTTTTAGATAGCATTAACTGCTTCGTATTTTATTGTAATAATCTCAATAATTTGAATTTTTATTAAATTTAAATTTTTGTTTCAAAATAAATTTCCAATCGATGATTTTTTTTCAAATTGAAAACACAGGCATTATTAGAAATTAGTAGTGCTTCAACAGTAGGCACTGTCTCATATTAATAGAGTCTTAACTTTTCGAAAAATTAGTGTGGTAATCGAAAATGAGTTGTATTCAAGTTTTTAAGCGTACTATGCTCTATCCGAGGGGGAAAATTGTCGAAAAATTTGGAGGCACTTTTACATTCTTGTATACGAACGCATAGAGAAATATATGTAGAACAGCGTTATTTATGTGATATTGTGGAAAATCGATTTCCAGATTTGAACGGAAATACTCTTTTTGGGAGCACTTGGTGTCGAAAAAGTTTTTTTTTAAACGTTCGTTCGTTCCTCCGTCCGTCCGTCCGTCCGTCCGTCTGTCTGTGTCTGTCTGTCCGGTATATATGTACTAGCGCCTAAACCATGTGTAGGATTTTTTGCAAATTGAACAAAACCCCTGTCGATGTCTCCTGAGTTGAAGCTCTACGGAATGAAAAACATTCATTCATTTTTAGGAATACTTTGAGTGGGACTTTTTCGGGACGTACCCTTGGGACATTTTCAAAATTTTATGCAAAATGGCTCCAAATTTTGTCTTTAAATTTCTTGTAAGAATAGAGGAAACACACATATAAAGGTGCCATAGGTCTTTTTTTCACTGTTAACAGTGAATTTTCAAAAATTGTTAAAGTATGAAGTTTTTCAGTAATTTCTTACGATATTGAATATTAAAGATTGAGTTTTTCCTTTAAATGAAATTTGTTGTCCATAATTAGTTCTTTCTTAAAAACTTGCTCTTTGTTGTGAAAATTTCGTAGTTTTTACGCAATATTACGTGTATTTTGTGTAATTTTAAAAACAATTACAAAAACAAGTCGAAAACGGCCCCATAATTTTTCTTTAAACTTTCGGTAGGGATAGTGGTAAATGTGAAGAAGTTGTAAACGCCATATTGCTCTATTTTTTAAAATTATAAACACATTTTTTGACTTGACTGTACCGTTCTTAATATTTGCATTAGTGGCAATTTGTTCACATTATTATAGTTTGGAGTACAGGTGCTTTGAATAATATTATACAAAGTTTCCCACAAACTCGACAGTTTTCTGTGATAATGAGCTCGAAACATTTTCCCCATTTTCTCAAAAACGGCTACAATTATTTTCTACAAATTTTTTGTACGGAAAGTGTTAATTGCAATGTTTAAAAAGAAATAAAATTAATTTTGCTACATTCTTATGTTTTTTTTAAAGTTAACAGATTTTTTTTAATATCTCTCACACCGTTAATATGGACATTTTATTATTATTATTATTATTATTATTATTATTATTATTTCCAGCACATATTGAATTGCAATTGAATTGTTTACTTCAGAAACCCGTCAAACGCCAAAATAAAAAACACGCTTTAGCGACGGTTGCTTATTGTTAGGAGGATATTGTTCGGATTATTGTTCCAGGAGGATAGACACATCGTTTAGTGCATATTTATATGAAAAATATTAATTTGTCAACTACGTTAATAAAAAAATATTTTGAAATCTGAAAAATTGAGAAATTTTTTTCTCCAAATGAGGAATTTGGCGTTGGTTGGGTTTTTGGAATAAACGATTCAATTTGACAGACGCTTTCGTAAACGAATTAAGTTGTTTGTTGGAGAGAACAATGCACTGATTGGCCGTGTGTGTGTGTGTGACTGCCGCAGGTGACGGACGCCGGGTACGGCGCGGGCCCCGCGGCGGTGGCGGGCCCGTCCACGCCGCACGTCAGGCGCAAGCCAAAGGACTCGACGGACTCGAAGCGGGAGCGCAAGGCGGCCAAGACGCTCGCCATCATCACGGGCGCCTTCGTCGTGTGCTGGCTGCCCTTCTTCGTGATGGCCATCATGATGGCGCTGTGCGGCACGTCGTGCCACCTCAACGACCTGGTGGTGGCCGTCATCCTGTGGCTGGGCTACTTCAACTCCACCCTCAACCCCATCATCTACACCATCTTCAGCCCGGAGTTCCGGCACGCCTTCAAGCGCATCCTGTGCGGCCGACGCAGCGCGCGCCGCCGCAACCGCCACTTCGGCGTGCGCTACCTGCAGTGAGGGCGGCGTCGCCGGGCGCGCGGGGTCGCGCTCTGGTTCCAGCTGGGCGCTGCGCCCAGCCGCGCTGCCGCCTCCGCCGCCGCCGCCTCCTCCTCCGTCGTCCGCGAAGACCCCATCCCCGAGTAAGCGGGGGTGGGGGCGGATTGGGAGGGGTGGCGGTGGCGGCGGCGACGGCCGCTCGGCTTAGGAGACGACGAATTCGGAGCAGCCGGTTGAGGCCGGCGGGAGAGAGCGGTTGATCGCTGACCGGGGGACTACTCGGAAGTTTTGGAAAAGTTGCCGCCCGATTCGACGAGCGGCAATCTTCTGGAACATTCTAGTGGCCTCGGTGATAACAATTGGGCTTGAATAATGAGCCTTTCGCGGATAACCTTCCAGATTTGGTAATTTGTTTGTTTGAGAGACTACTTTTCGGGCACTTTCAAGTCACCTTTTTCAAAATCTATTTAATGTTTTTATCTTCTTCAATTTCTCTACTAAATACATGAGAACATATTGGTGAAAAAAAATGTATCATCTGTCACTTTTTGAACAAAAAAAACTTTCTAAGGTATTTAAAAATTGTGTTGAATATCTCTCTCTTCTTACCTTCTTTCAACTACTTCACATCACTGCTCCGAATTCTACTCTAGCCATCACGGTTAGACGTCTTTGAAGAATCACGGGGGGAGGCAACTGGCAATTCCCCCCCGTGGCTGGAACTATGATAGCACAACTCCGGACGCTCGGTAACTGCGCTCGCGCAGTATAATCGACCTCAACAGAGGGCGTGGCTTCTCTCACAGAACTCTCTCATGGAAGCGGCGCTGCCTCTCAACATTCGGGTGTACGGGTTACGAACTCATTGGGTGTCACGTGTTCGTTCGCCTCTGCGGCGGGCGCGCGCCTCCACGCTTCGGACCTCTTCAGCGTGGGCGCAGGGAGAGGGCACGTGCGACGATTTTAGCCCACGTAGTGTCAGTAGATACGCATCGATCGCGCAACTTCACATGGCGACCGCGCTGCGTACCCGCGACGAGGAAGACGGGGAAAGCGTGCGTCTGCTTTGCGGGTAGTAGGGGGTTTGGAGTTCCAGGGTTGACAAACCTGACCGCCAGAACGCATCCGCACTCTCGGTAATGAAGGGCATGGGAGAATCTTTTCACGGCCGCCGCTGCCAACGCGCTGCCGACGGCTCCGCCACTACCGTTGCTCCCAGTAGTGCCACTACCGCCAACACCACCACCGCCGGCACCTCCACCGCCCCCGGCAGCAACAGCTCTCATCCATTGAGCCCAACACAAAGAGCGTTCCCCGTTCCTCCCGATCGCTTCTCAAACAGTCGACCTATCAGCAATCAGCGGGGCGCCCACGCCCTCGCCCACGCCCATGCCCACACCCTCGCCCGTTAACGCGCGGCCTCGCCCTCGCTAATCACGGAGCCGCCCGGTAATTCAAACGCGCGCTCGCCCGCGTGCTCGTGCGGGCTTCGCAAGATTGTCTCGCGGGCGCCCTCTGCGCAGTACACAGCCCCGGGGGCAGTTTTCCGCTGTGGCTGCCGCTGCTGCGGATCCCTTGTTGGAGAATCATATGGTTCTTGATGATAATACACCGCGACTGCCTATATAAACGCTCCGAATGTTTGACTCGGGGGGAGACAACGGTCTCATAGATATCGATCGGTGTATTTGTTATGTTCATGACCCCATTATATTGAGATTTAGTAAAGGGTAGCCGTGCCGTTGGATACATACGAAGAGATAATGGATCTGCTCTGTTTTTGTAAAAACTATAGAGTATGTCATTCAGTGCTTTTGTCGTTCATATCGGAAAACTTTTTTTTTTAATCAAACGATTACCATTCACTTTATGACATTGCTTTCACGACAAAGCTCTCTAAATCCCCACAATGAATTCTTTTCATTGGTACTTTTGTGCAAATTGTCACAGTATCGGAATTATTCCTTTGTCATCCACAAAGTGGATAGCAACCCCCCCTCCCAAAATGGTGAAAATTCAGAAGCGTCCAGGGCTGAGTTTCGGGCGGTCGTTGGAAAAAAAATAGTCAAACATGTCGTTTGTATTGCAGTTTGCACACGTTGCAGGGAAAAGCAACGCGCGTTGGCAGCTCGAGACACAGCGATCGATGGACGGAGACGCCGAAGCGGACTCCGCCTCCGTCCCCGCCCCCCACCACCCCAACCCGACCGACCCCGCCCCACATCCGCTCCGTCACAGTCCTCGTTCCCGTCCCTTCCCCCACCCTGACGCCGTCGCCGCCCCCGCCCCGCCCCGTCTGCGCGCCCGCCTTCCAACGCAGAGCCACCACCCCTGTTTAACGAGCGCTAATGAAGAGACTTGCTAATGTCAGAACCGCGACTCACCCTTCCTTGTCGCTCCCAACCTATCACCACTCCCTTGACCGCCATTACCACAACGTCCTTTCGGTTACCGATGGATTCCTACGAGTGCATAATGACTGACGCAATCATGGCAATGTCAGAATCGGGACTCGCCTTTCCTTGTCGTTCCCTACGCCATCATGTCACCCTCCACCGCCATTACCACAACATCCTTCCGTTTGGTGGTGGATTCCTACGAGTGCATAATGGCTGGCGCGATCGTTCCTCGAGTGATAGCGGAGCCATCGGCAGCCGCTACTCAAGACGGACGCTCTCTTAAAGGTGGTAGGAGCTCCCTTAAAGGCTATAGGGGAGGGAGATGCAATGGATGTGTAGGAATGTCGATAAGGAGCCTGTGATAGGCAAACGAATGATTAGTATTATAAGGTCAGCTCACAGGAGCGCACAAATAAACGAGTAAAAGTAATTATATTGTCGGTTTATCCGCGCTGCTATCTCCATGTCAGCCACCCTCAAGTCTTTAACCAATAAGAGAGGAACCTCTCCTTACTGTTGGAATAGCATTAACCTTGAAGCAGTTCAGTGCCGTAGAATTATAGCAGGATGCTTTCAAACTCCTGAAATTGGGACTGGGTCGGGAGAAGGCGGATACAGAGGAAGGCACGTAATTCCAACCGGCAGCGTGAGAAAGTTAATATGCCCGGCGGAACGTTCGCTCATACAATACCGACTGCGGATCTCATTTTGGAGGTTCTAATTACGCGGTTTGCGAAACGGAACTCCGACCTAGTTGGTACGTAAGAATTTACACTCGAAAAGATCGTAAAGCTAAAAGACTGTTTCATCTCCGCTCCTCGTTTTAAGAGCGGCCGTCTTCATTGTTTGAAGGGGGTAATCTCTCTTTAGATTGTGAAGACCTTGACAGTTTCGGCGGGTAGTCATTGTTGGGAATTCATACATTTTACTTAACGTACCTGTATCATTTATATTTTGTTCATTTCTTGGAACCCAGGCATGAAACCATGTTTTTAGAAACTATTCATTTCTAAAATTATGTTACCAGTGACTTAGACTTTTCAGATATGCTCTCCTTCACGTGGATTAAAATACGAGAGTGTTTGCTTTTCTTCTTTGATTTCCACCTATTTGGTCACACCAAGCTATTGCTCACCGATCCTTCCAGGTCCTCACTATCAATGAAGAAATTCTATGTAATCAAATTTTAAATGACTTCATAAACAGCAACAACGAACGGAAGTGCCACTGTGTCATATTGAGTGCGAACCGCAACTGCGTGACGTCACCTCCAGTCTAGACTCAATGAAGTGACGCACCCGTGTTGTTGACTGCTCATTTACTGTAGGAAGCCGACAATCATTCGTGTTTGTGTCTTTTACTCTAGTGGTTTGGAAGAGTCTGGAACAGCACGATATCTGATGACGAATCGCCGATGAGCGAGCACCCAGCTGTGGTGACCGCGAGTGTCCATGGACAACAGGCACTTCGGGCGAGAACGTCTGTGTTTAACTGTGTGTAAATAGCGAGGATATATTTTTTATATATTCAGCGGGCTTCGTCAGCGTTTGGTTCGGCTTGTAACGTTTTTTGTAAGAGTTTAGGTCATATGAATGTAATTATTTTTCTCGACGTTGTTAATCGACTTCATGTGATAGCGCTGGGTGCTTCCGGTGGAGGGGTCGTCTCGGTTTGGCACGAGACGCGGCACGCTGGACGAATGGAAGAGACTGTTTTCTACGTCAAGATTGGAGGACGATGTATCGACTCGGTGGCAGCCTTCTCCCATGGAGGGGGCGAATGACCGGAAGCCGCCCAACAGCAGACTTCACCCGTGTCGTTAGTGTGACACAAAATGAAGCTCCGCCCCGACTTACGTTTGCGAAGCAATCACTGGTAATTGTTCCAACTACTCTCTGAGCAACTAACATATATACAGTTCATGAATATATTTATATTGTATAGTTCACGTGTACTTACTGTACTGTTTCGCGGCGTTTTTGTCTTTCTTTTCTATTTCTCTTCCACAGAACAATCGGAAGTGACTTCATACCAGAATGTTTCTATGTACATCTTTTCTGTTTTACTCCATGTTCCGTGCTCCAGCAACGGCTACTGTATACGAATTTATGGACGATACGGGTCTTAGTCTCTTTAACAGAGGAATTAGTTACTTGCCAAAGACTGCCTAAAGGCAGCGAATACTGTATGCATAAACAACAAGCCACTCGATAACATTCGCGTAGCTCGATTGTTTACGTTTTGAAAACAAATTTATGTATCAATAATTAATGTAAATTAATAGATGTTGAAACGTGGCAGCTGTGCGAGCACGGAAACCAAAAAGGAGGAACGCCTGAAGTCTCACACACGTCGTTGCAAAGCGTGGTGCATTTCCGGTGTGAAATCCCGGACGAAATCCCAAGCTCTCTTTTCTCTAGGCACTCTTCCCCTCCTTAGTTCAGAAAGTTACGTATTCAGATGGCTATTGTGCGTGACACAATGCGCCGCCAAATGTTCGACCAGAAACTTTCTCCGACGTTTTCTTCCCGCATTATCTCGCAAAGTCCACCTCTTTTTCTTCTGAAAGACGGCAAAGCGCCGCGTCCCAAACGGGAACACTTGTCTCTATTCAGCAACTCT